CTGAATTTGGATCCTCACACCTGGTGAACACTGGCAGCAGCGAGGGAATTACAGTTGGAAATTACATGCTTAATGAATTAACGAGGTGGCTCCCAGGCAGCAGGGCTGACACGTTCCTTGATCCTGATCTCCCTAATCATTTTGTACATGACCAAAGTCAGGCAGAGCCAAGAAAATACAGAAATGCTACCAAAGAGGAGGAAAATGGTGTTGTGGATGTTTTGAAGAAAGCTGTTAGCCTGACTACTTTTAGCTCCTATTTCAGTGTAAATAAATACATAATCTCAGTAGATCTGGAGGAAGAAAGGTGTTTGCTGCTCTGATCTCACCCAACATCTCTGCACAACATGTACTGCAAAAATTTATTTTCTCAGCACTAGTTTTACAAGTTCTGAAACATTTCACCCTTAAAACAAAATGAAGCTCTCTGTACATCAGGCCAGAGTTCACTTTTGGAAATGGAAAATACTTTGACCCCTGTGAGGGCTCTGATTTTGTGCCAACAGTTTTATTACTGTGGACAAGTGTCATTTTTCTTCTCCCATCTCTTCCATAAACTAGCCTAGACTGCGTAGATGGTCTTGGCTGCCATGGATCCCAGGATAAATCATGTGCGTCCTTGTTTCTTTTTTTGCTGCTTTTCAGACAGCTCAGAGGCCTGGCTTATTAAAAAAAAAAGAAAACACCAAAACGCTGCGAGGAACAGATGACAAAAGTAAACGTGAATCAAACACCTCCAGTAATCAAGTGCATCTGAAAAATGAAATGAAGCAGGATTTCACTCACACTTACTAGATAAAAAAAGCCTTTCTGCGTGATGTGGTGAATCACAGACAAAACCAATGGTGGATTTCTTATTTGCTGGACCTTCCTCAGTCCAGGCAAGGAGCAAGCGGCTGCTCTTTCCTTGCCTTCCCAGCAGGGAAGGGAGCTCGGTCCTGCTGGTGGGGTGGCACTGCAGAGATGCCCATAGTATCTGTGCATCGCTGCCCACGGGACCCACGGTGCCACGTCTGACCCACTTTTGCACCATTTCAGGCTCCAGACTGAAGCCCTCACTTTTGCTAACTTCTTGCTCAGCTTTTGCAGTGCATAACAAAAGGAAAAATTTGCCTGGAGAAGAGAAAGAAGAAAATTAAACTTCTTGTTCAGAGAAAGAAGGGCTAGTTTTCAGTGCCTCGGAGGAACCGTGGACCTGTTGGTGAGGGATGCTCTTCCACCACCACCGAGCAATACCCAGGGAATGGGAGGTGTAAATTTAGGTCTCTTATTATTCATGAAGAGCTCTGTCTTTTTGATGTTAAAAAAGTAGGCAATACTAAAAGGAGAGAGAGAGGTGTGAGATGTTGTAGCGCAAGTGAGAAAAGGCAGCTTCTCACTTAATAGCAGTAGGCAGAAGCATTATGAAACAGAAAAAGATAGCGGGGAACTGGGGGACTTTCACGGCCCCATCCTGGCAGGCTCGGTGGCAAAGCAAGACTTGCTTCTTATCCTCAAGTGGATGCTGGTTAACCGGGGGGCAGAGACAGTAAACAGCTGCAGCCCAACAATATAATCATAGAATCATAGGTTGGAAAAGATCTTTAAGATCATCAAGTCCAACCATCAACCCAACACCACCATGCCTGCTAAACCGCATCCCAAAGTACTACACGTTTTTTGAACACCTCCAGGGATGGTGACTCAACCACCTCCCTGGGCAGCCTGGTCCAATGTCCGACCACCCTTTCAGTAAAGAATCTTTTCCTAATATCTAATCTAGCTCCTTGTAAGCCTTGTTCTCCAGGCCACTCACCAGCCTTGTTGCCTTTCTCTGGACATGCTCCAGCAACCCATTGTCCTTTTTGTAGTGAGGGGCCCAAAACTGAACACAGCACTGGAGGTGCGGCCTCACCAGTGCCGAGTACAGGGGCACGATCACCTCCCTGCTCTTGCTGGCCACACCATTCCTGATACAAGCCAGGATGCTGTTGGCCTTCTTGGCCACCTGGGCACACTGCTGGCTTATGTTCAGTCGGCTGTCGACCAACACCCCCAGGTCCTTTTCAGCTGGGCAGCTTTCCAGCCACTCCTCCTCAAGCCTGTAGCGTTGCGTGGGATTGTTGTGACCGAAGTGCAGGACCCGGCATTTGGCCTTGTTGAACCTCATACAGCTGGCCTCGGCTCATCGATCCAGTCTGTCCAGATCCCTCTGCAGAGCCTTCCTACCCTCAAGCAGATCGACACTTCCACCCAACTTGGTGTCATCTGCAAACTTGCTGAGGGAGCACTCAATCCCCTCCTGCAGATCACTGATAAAGATGTTAAACAAGACCTGACCCAAAACTGATCTGGATTTAACTCCATTCACCACCGCTCTCTGTGCTCAGCCATTTAGCCAGGTCTTTATCCAGCGAAGATAATTACAGGGAGTTTCATATCTTCTGGGTTTTTGTCTCCTTTTCCTCAGTGTTCGAAGCTGGGGTGCACATGGCGGCTTGCCTATAGCATGGCCATAGCACTCTGTGTGGGGTGCATCCCTTTTTAAAAACAGTTGGAAAAATCTGGGGAAAAATCTCAGGGAGGTTTTTGGTGGCTTCCCTAGGGTCAGGATTTCTTTCCTTATGGAAAATGTGGCCTTGGCCAAAGCACTTCAGCTTCAAGAGTTTTTCCATGAAAAGCACCGGTCAGAAAGCTTTCTGCTAACAAACTCTCACCATCTAAGGTACACGAGGACTCTCACAGTTTATAACCAGTACTGGCATACTTTATTAAATAGTTTTGGGTACTATTTTTGAACAGCTTTTGCTTTATAATCTGTCGGTTTAAGCTACCAGAGTCTTTAGTCTTTTCCTCAGTTTATTTAATTAAGCCATCCAATATACTGCAGTACAGCTCAGTTCCTGGGTGCAAGATCTTCTATTTAACCTTTGTCTGAACCAAAGCTCTCCAGAAAAAGAAAGGTACTAAAGCGATATATGCAAGGCTTAAGTCGCTGTTGACTGAACATTAAAATACTGGGCTGGTTTTGGTTTTTCAGTCTCTGTGTGATAAGGTCTATTCCTTAGCTTTACATATCAACAAGCAAAGGCAAAAAAAAAGGATTATTTGTGATTACTGTAATGTGGTTGTTTGAAATAATACTAATAAAAAAATAATCTCTTTCTGTCTTCATCCACGGAGATCACAGTTCTGTCTAGTTTCTCCAGGAAGTTATGAAAACCCACCTGAGCAGTTCATAAATGGCCACTTGTGCTCACAGCTACCAAAGTCGTTTGAGACGTCGCATATGCAAAGGTGAACGCATTATTGCATGTGAAATATGGATGAAGGCATTTTCCAGAACAAGGCTTGGAAACTTGACTGAAATATGTTCAGATAGCCAGCCCATAAAGGGCTGCAAAACTTAGTTAAAATTGTATTGGACGGGGCTTTGAGCAACCTCATCTGGTTGAAGATGTCCCTTCTCACTGCAGGGGGGGTTGGGCTAGATGGCTTTTAAAGGTCCCTTCCAAACCAAACTATTTTATGATTCTGTAGTTCTATATAGGAAGCAGCATTTTAAAAAAAAAATAATTCTGCAACATACTAATTTGGCTTGGGGCAAAAACTGTCTTTTTTTAATCTATTGTGATTAGCTGGGTCAGATTCTTCAAAACTTTGAGTGCAATACCTGGTGGGAGAAGGTAAGGTGCAACTCATGGAAGGGTGCACACGTGTCCCTTGGGAACTCTGCTGAGTTTATAGTGAGACAGTTGGCCCCCAAGAAGGGAGAGAAGTCGGAGCCACCTTATCCCAGAGCTGAACGCTTGACTTTGGGAGACGTTATGTGCGGGGTAGGAGCAGAGGAATTTTCTCACCGCACACAACACAGCAATCGCCCCTGCCACTGTCTCGCTTCAGGTTTTCAAGTGTGTGTGGGGTTGTTTCTGGGATGTTATAAAACATCAAGTGTATGGGATTATATGAGGAATGTTTTGCCATCAAGTCAGTGTTGCTGTTATCAGAAAAGGAGAAACATTAGGAAGAGTCTGAATTTATCAATTTTTTTTTTAAATCATCTGAGTCGTTTGGCTAAGTTTTTTTCTAACAGCAAGAGGGTATTTGAAAGCTGAATTAAAGCTGTGATTGATTGCGAGAAACTGTTTTCTCTTGTGCGTATATCTTCAGGGGAAAACTGATTCTCCACACACCTCTAACGAAGCAGAGAACACCTTCAGGGAAGCTCCAACTTTTAGCTTGGGAGGGGGGGAAGGAAACCACCAACACCGGGTTTCCAAAGTCTGCTTGTAACAGCTGAGAGGAATTTGCACATCTGATTAACCACAGGCAGTGCCAGTGCGGCTGCATACCCTCTGCTACATGGCCACTTTCGCTGGTCTCTTCAAACCCAATCTCATGACTAGGTTTGGTTTTAAAACTACATCAGTCCCCCGGTCACCCTCAAAGCCTAAAACCAGCAGCAGCTGAAAGAGAGGTGTTCAAGCTGGAGCTGGACAGAAATAGAAAAAGAAACAGGAAAGCTTGATGTTATCCAGTTGTTTCTATTTCACAGAACACAAAATAATTTTATTTTTCTCAACTTCTCCCCCAATGAACACAATTAAAGAAATAATACTTAAATATCTCTCTGGCTTCTTTCTCTGTATGATTTTTTTAATCCTCTAAGGGAAGGTTAGAACTCAGAAAAGTGACTTTGGGAGAAAAAGAAAATAGTGGAAAAGAGAGGATAAAATTCCCTAGAGAACCCTTGGTGACTCAGCAAAAAATAGATAAAGAAGAAAAGAGACCAAGAGAACAAACAAATTTATTCTCTAAAGTTTGGGGCTTTGAGATGAGAACTGGATAATTTTGACAAATGTCCAAGTGTTTGGGGGCAATTTGGGATTCCAAAAGGAGCTAATTTTCATTTAAAATAAGTTTTGTGTGAAAGCGTTTACCAATTTCAACCTATTACTCTTCAAATTGTATTTATGTAGACACGTCTAGCAAATTCCATGCCAAAATGTGTGAATACTTACGCAGGACCCTCACGCCGTGCTTCAAGGCTTGCACGCGGCTGGGCTCCATGGACATGCTGAGCATCGTCTGCTGCCCGCCGATGGTGCAGACCTGGTTTTCCTGGGCAGCCTGTTTGAACATGACCATGAGCTGGTTGGCGATGATGGTGTTGAGCACAGAAATGACGACCATGGGGAACACGAAGGAGACGAAAGTGTTGACCTGTGGGGGATAGAGGTGGCACAGTCAAGGGGGAAGAAGGATCGGTGGAGCAGGACATTGTGTTTTATTTCTCACAGCAACAGAGAAACAGCCTGCAGTGGAAATCTTTTCCCTCCCCTTACTCTGCTGTCTTCGGCTTTGAAGGCTTATTGCACAGGGGGAAAACTCAAACACCGCTGACATACATTCATTCATGTGGGTCAACACTCAAGAAAGGCAAATTCATTTGCACCCAGTTATGTTGTCGTCCCCTTTTCGGTGCAGTTCATTGCCAGAAATGTCTCGACTGAAACACGCCATTGATCTTTCCATCTTGCAAACAGCAGGATGCTTCTTAGCTTTCATTGTGCGTAGCGTGACTTCTAAATAACAGCATGTTATTGTATTTTTTCTTTATTACAAGCACTCCTTGAGATCTTTTTAACTGTCTTTTTTGTGTTCTGTCCCTTTCCTTGTAGATTTAATGACAGCATTTTGTTATCTCATAATCAAATTATCCAATAAACTTTGTGCCCTAAAGGATTAAAATTGATTGGAATAAAGAAGTGGAAGTTGTAATGGTTTCAGTACAAATTATTTGATTACTACAGTTTTGATAAAATTAAATGGAGGATCAAATTAAGCAGTGATTGAATCAAGTGGAAGTCACTTGTTTGAGTCAAATAAAAGCAGAAAGTCTTTGTGAGAGCCTTATGGGCTGTCTAGAAACCCCACTGGAGCTGAGCTTAACAATGAGCAGCTCGGGGAAATAGAGGCATGTGCAGGATTTGCCTGCATGTCTGTGTCAAGGCTGCAGGGGAGGGATGGTGAGCTGCCATGCCGGGTGCCTGCGAGGCTCCTACTCTGTACGGCTCAGGAGGTGAGTGTGGGACAAATCAAAAGCCCCTTAAATTTTTTAAATTTCAAAATATTCACAAGAATTAAACTGTGTGCTGCAAATCACTGTACAAGGAATTTTATTAAAAGTGATAAAATGACAAAAAGATAAAAGTACTAAAACCAAGAGGGAACTTTGCCCTGTGGCAGGGCTACAACGCGTTCTAGCTTCTTCCCAAGATAGCCACCTATCTTGCACCTCAGTGCTTTAAACCACAGAAGCAATCGTGCATGCCAAGCCAACCCCACGCCCCTCTGCAGACTGCAAAGCCAGGGAAGCCTCATCTACAAACGGGTGCTGCGTCTGCTCGGGTGGAGACAGCCCCTCTCCACCCACCCACCCACGCAGCACCATCACCTCAGTGGACAAGCATTTGCTGAACACCCACTATCTGGCGCAGATGTGTGGTCTCTTCACTCTGGAGGGATTCAGAAATGCCAGAGGTGAATGGAAAGATGGAGAAAGAATCCAACCACATCTCAAGATGTTACAGGGGATTCATAAAAGAAAGAAATAAGCAGCACGTAAGCATATGAGGAGCAGGTGCACTGGCAATCAGAAGCACTTAAGTTTCTTTGTTCATAAATTTGAGAAAGATGCAAGTCCTCGTTTGCTGAAGACAGGCAGTGTTGTTGCCAAAGTTTTCTTCAGATGGATCAAGTCTCTATACAGCTTTGTGCTCCAGAGCTCAATGTGTTTAGCAAAAGTACCAGCTGGGTTTCGTCTCTCACAACCCACACGGTGAGAACATCATCTCTCGTTTATGCTGATAATAATAATAGAGCTCCTCTGTGGACTGAGGAAATTCCTATACATACCCCACCATTACAAGCTGTTAATGGCCTCTTTTGTTAAATATATAGCAGTTTTCTGAGATTCTAAAAGATCCCACAGCCTCCTGCATATAAAGAAGAGTTATGTTTTGAAGTCGCCTTGAGATGCAAAGAAAGATCATTAAGCAGTAGGGACCAAGTTCTCAGCCGGTACAAAATGACACGGTTTCACTGGGAGAGTAATATGTGCTTGTGAAGAACCTATTTCGTTTATTTAACCTTCACGATGCAGCTGGGCTGAGCTGGCGCACACAGGGGTGAAGTGACTTGCTCAGACTTGCCAGGTCAGACTAAGAAACGAGCCCTGTAGTGCCCCAGTCCTATTCCTGTGGCTTTAGTTGCTGAATCTCCTTCTTCCCTGCTGCTGCACAATGTTTGCACATCAGCAAAAGGAAATGCTTAGCTCTGGAAATGCTTAATTCTGTCACCTGAGCTTCAGAGTTGACTGGCTCTCGTTCAAAATCTTTGTCCTTACTATAAATTAGCCTTGCCTAACATAATTACACAGAAAAAGTCTTTTCTGAGCTTTCTTTAAAGCCTTGGTTCATTCCATAATTGTATTGTGGAGTCTTTAAAGAGCTTGGGAAATTGTCTGGAATAGCATTGACTTTCCCTGTTATGAATTGTTATGGTAAAAGTGTGAAAATTGTAGGCTTTCTATGAAAGGCTATATTTAAAGATTTTTTCCGTGTCTTGATTTGTACCAAAACTCTCATATAGTTTAAAAAAGAAATCAATATTTTCCCCAGAAGCAGAAAGTTTTGATTTGTGGGAAGAATTATTTGCGAATGCGAACTCTTGAGGCCCGTCAAGGCTAGAAAAGCTAATCCCCCTCCTGCAAAGCCTCTGTATTCAGTGTTTTTTCTGGCGAGCTGCTTGCTGGGTTGTGCGAGTCTGGACCCCAGCACGCTGCACAGGTCAGTGCAGCAGCACCTCATTGCCAGGTGACTTTGCATACTGCTGGAGCTGATGAACAGCTCTTCAAAGCCAGCAGAAAGGTTCCCACCTGCTTCAAGAGGAGCTGGTCTGGGATCCCAGGACTACATATTCAAAGGTCTTCAGGAGCAGAAAGACTTGTACAGGTGTTTAATGGGATTTTTTGTAGCGCCGAAACTCCTAACATCAGTGGGACTAAAGTGGCTATGGCTGTGTACAAACACCTGTGGGACCCTTAGGGTCCCTATACGCCTTTACAGATTGCCCTCCATTGCCAAAGGTGATTTTAATTCCATCCAAAACATGAAGCATTAACATTACACAAGGTTTTGCAGGTCAGGGAAGACAGAGCAAAGCTGAGGATGGGGCTTCATAATCTCATGAGACAACAAATGGAAATTTATGGAAATGAAGTCACACTTCAGGAAGGGAAAAAATGCAGTTATCAGCCTCTCTTGATCAGCTCAACAAAAATCGGCCCTTGCGTGAGCTTCTTCTCTCCAAAGAGGAGTGTGGGAGAGACACAGAGGAAGGAACCAGAAAAATCGAGTGACACAAAAGCAGGAGGCAGCTCTTAGGTTTGCGGCTCTTACTAAATCTTTTGTGTGGAAAACTGCTCCCCTGGCTCTGTTCAGCTTCATGCTGATGTGATTTGCTTTTGCCAAGTCGTCCCTCAAATGATTTTGCTGCCGTGGTTTCCCTGGGTTACCACTAAAAGCAGACATCATCTCACTCGCAATGGTGATGGAGAAGATGAGCACAGAACTTCACAGAGGGACTCCCCAGAGGGCTTCAACGAGCCCTGTAAATCAGAAGTTTTGCAAAGGTTTGTGCTCTAAGGTGACTTCTGGAGGAGCATGGATTCAGAGGCTACATTGGAAGAACATGGTTTTTCCACCCGTCCTACAAGCCCAGACTTTTGTCTTACATATATCTGAAGGGGAGGAAGGGAAATATTGCATGCTACAGGCGTTTACGGGTCACCTTCACTCCCAGCAAAACTCAGTTGACTGAGCTACCTACAGCTGACTGGTCCCATGGTCTGTCAGCGCATGGCTTTGGAGGGGTACAGAACTGTTAATGAGTGTTTGTAGATGCTTTATGAGGTTTTGGAGCAATTAAGTAGTTAAAAATAAAAAATTAGGCTAAAGGCTATTCCTGGATATACCATAGCAAATTAAACACCTCCACTAGAAGTATTTATAATAAAAAAAGCCAAGAAGTAGAACAATTCATAATGTTTTCGTTGAAAGACTTTTGATGAGAAAATGTTCCTTTACTACGATCGTGAAAGATTTTTTGTGTCCTGGGTTTTCCCACAAGCCGGCCTTTTTTCTAAATAACTAAATAAAGTCCCACAAAGCAAATGAAGCGTGAAACGAGGGTTGCAGCAGCAGCTCGGTGTGATGCACCCCACTGGTGCATCCCATGAAGCAGCAGCCGGGATCCCCCGCCAGAAGGAGCAAGACCCCCGGAGTGGACATGGAGTGCAGCTGGGATCTATTCACAGTTTTAGCTCTGGTTTATGACAGTGGTTTTGTGGCAGAGATCAGAGATGTTCCCTCGTTGCCTGATAAATGAGGTGACAGCAGAGCCAAATTCCTGGTCTCTGTCAGTGCCACCTCTCTGGAGACACAGCCCCTTCCAACAGTGAGCTGGGGTGCTCAGAACAATTTTTCCCCTTCCTCTTCAGGGAAGTGAGGAGGACAATTCAAACACAGAGAAGAAAAGTAGACAATGGCGAGCTGGTAGAACCTCACCTGGGCTGACTAAGCTTCTCTCGTACCTCATTTCCCCGCGGCACGCCTGCCTGCCGGCTCGGAAATGCTGGGAAATATCTGTCAGCCTTTCCATTTTCTGCTGAGGAGGATTTCTCATTGCAGAGACTGTCCTCTCGGGTCCAGTCACCCCTTGAGGGCATGCCTGGGGAAATGGTTGAGAAACCCAAAAGCTGCTGAGAAGTATATCAGGAGGAGATTTGTCTTCGCTGGTTTCCTGGAAGTGATGATGGGGAGGGCTGAGGATGCAGGGTATCATTTGATTCGTGGTTTTAAGCAAATCAATTAAGCCACATAGCTGGGATTTAACAATCTACCACATTCTGGTTCACCTCATTTCCAATGGAAATGAAAAGTAAATCATCCTCCCACTGGCTGTGGAGGCAGTAGTGTTAGCATATGTCAATCAGAAAAGCACGTTCTGCTACATCAACATTCGGCTGCCAAAAAATCTTATTTGACTAAATGTACTTTACAAAATTACCAGTTATCTCACTCAGTGGCCAGAATTAGCATTTTTTAACCACCCAGTGGATAATTTCAGCCTTTAATAAGCACAGTGCCGCATTCCTGGGT